ACTATTATGAATATTAATTATTTGTTTGTGTGTATGTATATATATATATATATATATATATATATATATATATATATATATATATATATATATATATATATATTAACAACACTGAATGTTGAAGAACTTAATTAATTACTTAACTGAAATTTAGTTAACAATCCCACGTTCTTCTTATTTATGCATATGCATACCGACTATTCACACGCACACATATGATATACATGCTGATGTACACACACACATACACAAACAAACACACACAAACAAACCCGCACACACAAACAAACACACACAACACATATACACAGAAAAGGTAAAATTTGCATAAACAATAATAAAATAATTTGTAAGCTTGTATGTTGCATTGCCAGGTGCCGATGGACGACGGATGATTTCGTGATGAAGGAGCAGTGGTGAGTGTGGTTTCATCTTGATGATGACGATAATGAGGAGGATGAAGAAGATGATGATGATGAAGAGGATGATGAAGTGAATGATGATGATGGTGAAGATCACACGTTGTAGTTTGTCTCGTTGAAATCTTCGAGGACCCACCTCTGATGGGGATTGCCATTGCACGTGATGGCTGCTCAAATGGAAATATTTTAAAGTAAATTAACTCTATCCGTTCCTTAACGTTGAAACAAGATTGATAAAAAGTAAGCAGAATGACCAAAATAGAATTCTACGATTTTTACATGCATATTCGAACGTCTCTATCTGTAATCATTGAGTTATTTGAAATGAAAAATCGGAGCAGACGAGCAAGACAAAACTAATGAGTGAGACATTTTAAACAGAAGAAGATTAAGGAAAAAAGCCCACCTAACGCAACGTAGTTCATCTTGTCGAAGGTCACGCCTCTGGGCGCCTCAAGGCACATGTTGGACTTTGTGTGGCGAAATGTCTTCAACTGTGTGTGGGTTGTCGTCGTTAGATCATGCGAAATGCATGTGTGTGTGTGTGTGTGTGTATGTATGTTGTGTGTGTTTGGTGTGTGAGTATTCTCAATAACTAGCCAATAAATGTAGGACACATTTAGATGGAATTGCTTCATTTCAACAACATGACAAGCACTACCTCAATATGAGGCAGTGCTTGTCAAATGATGACAATAGGTGTCTTCCCCCAAAAAAAGGCCCTGAAAACAAGTGCCAGGCTCTTCTAATTAGAAACAAAAACAAAAAATAATAAAACGCTCTAACAATACCATAGGATATATTTAATTTTTATATTACTCTAACGAGTGCAGGAACCCAACAAACAAACATTTAAAAGATGTTTTATGTGTTAACGAGTGTTCGTTCGGCTGGCCACTTTAAAGCTATATAAATTTGACGAGCCAAGAACATTCAATAACAAACAACGCTACAAAACAACACATAACGAACAACGCAGTACAACACCAAAGAAAACAACAATAGAATCATCATCATCATCATCATCACCATCACCATCATCATCACCACCACCATCACCATCATCATCATCATCATCATCATCATCATCATCATCATCATCATGAGGACCTTCTTCTCGTAGTACCACTTCTGTGAGGGGCGCGAGTTGCACTGGGTGAGGATGACCTTCGAGTGGTCGACACTATCGAGGCAGAGTTCATCGATGCGGATGTGCTTCTCGGCAGTGTACGAGAAGGCCTGACGTGGCGTGTGGCGTGGTGTTTGTTGACCAACAGGTGATACGGTCAGGTCACTCATCATGTCATTTTATGCCGTTTAAATGTTAAAAACAGTTAAAAACAACAGTAACTACGACGACAACATAAGACGCAACAGACTCAGCGACCATCCTCATTATGTCATGCCATGTCCTTTTATACTTTTACACCGTCTAAGTGTTCAAAACCGTTAAAAAGAACAACAGCAGCAACAAAAAAACAACAAAAAACAACAGCAACAACAGTAACTACGACAACAACATAAAACGCAACAAACTCAACAACAGACTCAGCAACCAACCTGATTGCCTCCCCCCTTATGACACAGAGCCAACCCAACTTGTTCATTTTGCTGGTGACCCAGGGTGTCCAGACACCCCTGACTTATTGGATTATGTATCTGCAATTTTTAAAAACATCTTCAGAACAAACACAACCCATTAAATATTTATAGGTGAATAACGAGTTAATTAGCAGGACAAACAGCAACCGAAGTACCTCCAATCGACCCGTGCATTATAAACGGCCGCAACAAGCAGAAACCTTATAAGGATTATTGATTAAATAAATTTCAGTCCCATGTCACCTCAACAGCCACCAAAGTTTCTCTCTTTAATTACCGAAAAAAAAATTCAAAGCCGATGAAGTGTTTGTAACATCACCGACTCTAACATAAGCGCGCGTCTGCCAGAAACAACTAATAAACACAGAAACACACACACACACAAACACAACAAACAGCATCGAAAATGCTGGCGACACCGGCAGATAACATCAAGACAGGAATGACGACCTCTATGTGTCCTACATCTTATTTTATATCTCCCGGGCCCGAATACCCATTTGTTCAAACGGATGGCCGAGCCCGAAAGATAACAAATAAGATGAGAGGCCGCCATCCCCTGGACGACACAAAGAACAAGAAGCACGTACAGATCCGAGGGAGTAGAAGACGAGAGGTATGTTGGAGTTCGGGTAGATATGTTTCAGGTACCACTTGAACGGCTTGCAGTTCAACTTCTTCTTCAGTTTCAATCTCTCGGATATATCTCCGTACGACGACGCTCGCGCACCTGATAATGATGTATGACGTGAGTGCAATGGATGAGGAAAGTGTGTGCTGGTGAGGTTTTGCTAGTCTGACCATGATGTTCAACCATTACGATTTGTTGATAGCATTAAGATGCATTTAATGAGAGGTTCACTGGAGTTTACTGATCAAATCCATTGTATTATACAAACAGCTGTTTCTGTTATTTTAGAATTATAAAGGCATTCGTAATAATGTTTGGTCGCCATCACCATGGACAGAACGGAATAGATATGCAGTGAAAAAGGTTAAGAAAGGAGCAACAAGACTCTGACTTCAAATCCCCGCCACCTTGCGGCCATACTCTTTCATGGGAAAGGCTGTGAGAAAAAATCAGACAGAAAATTAACATCTCTCTTTCAAGAAGAGTCGGACTCTCATCCTTATTCTGTATAGATAGACCAACAAAAATCCTTCTCTGAAGAAGGATTTCGTCTGCTGTAGTGGACAACTGCGGAAAAGACCGAGTGACCCACTTGCATCCGCAGTCGGATGTGCCGGCGATTCTGATTCGGCCAAGTTGCTGCGCCCGCTTCGATCAGCCAGCACGTCGCAACTTGTTGTGCCTGCTGCCAGCGATCGATGTGGGAGGGGGGGGGGGTGGAGCACATCCCGCAGATACGTTTCACCCCAATCCAACCAACGTGAAGACGATCAGTTCATGCATGTGTGGATGTGCAAGGCATGTAGGTAAAGCAATGTGTACCGTACAATGTATTTATGAGGTCTATAACGTATCTGTGATGAGCGAGTGCACGTCTGCATGTCGACGTTCGTGTGAGGTTTCTGCTCTGTGAACGACTGATGCATCAGTCACCACATCAGAAGAACAATTTTGAAAAATTATGAAAAATGCGCTGAACGCTAACTAGATAAAAATATTTTCTGACTTTAATTCAGAAGATAAAAATACAAGTCTATTAAACAAACAAATGAGCAAACAAAAAAATGGGCAAACGAACGAACGAAAGAACAAGCAACAAACAAACCGGGATTTGCCTTGTAGAAAAACTCCTTGTACTCATCCATCCAGACCTCGACAGTCCTGAGGAAGTTGTTGTCGAGAATGTGGACGACCCCACCGGGCCAGGAGTAGGGGGAAGTCTCCCTGAAGACGTGGCCCACTCGTGAGCAGGTCACTATCAACACTTGCCCGCCACACATCCACACCTGTGGGTTTTATTCGACGTGATCGCCTCTTCAAAATCATCATCTTCGTCTTCATTATGATCATCATCTTCGTCTTCACTATCATCATCACGTCCAGCTTAACAATCGTTACCACCATCACCATAACCATAACCAGCATAAGAAAGATCTTCACCATCGGGGCATAAAAATCATATCCATCATTTCATCACCACCCCACACTGACCCTGAAAGACATTTCAACGTTCTCCCCTCCCCAGATGATCATCCCCGGATCGTACGCACCAATCTCGTAGAAATAATTCCTATCGATGGCGAACAGTCCACCAGCCATTGTGGGGGTTCTGCGGTGGTGGTGATGATAGTGGTGTTGTAGTCACCATCAACATCTCCCATCAACACCTCCCATCATCATATTATGTTAGAAAATTGATGGTGAGATTAATTAAGGTAATGACGATGTCAGGTGATCAACTGCGGGGCATTCAATGATGATCAGATCCTTGAGATGAGCAGAGTAACGGAACAACGCAGTGCATGCACACGAGCAACGTGAACGGTCGGGACACGGATCGCCAATGTAATTATTTACATAATAACAATAATGAGAACATCCTTTTATTTTCTAACTCCAAGTACCAAATATCAATAATGAAATAATTATGAAATCTCAAATTATTAAATCCTATTAAAATCCTATAATAATAATAATAATAATATTGAAAATGATAATAACAATAATAATAATTATAATAATAATAATAATAATATAGTAATAATAACAACTTATATCACGATAAGGGCAAGCAATGGAAGCGCTCTTTGCCAGAGGACTATTGTACATAATACAATCCTATAAGATGAGTACTATAACATTAGAGGTGACACTATTTAATTACTATTAGTGACTGTAGCTAGCCAGTTGTGAGGAAATGAGTTTTTAGTTTATTCTTAAAAGTAGCCAGTGAAGTGCGGCCTCTAAAGCGAGATGGCAGTCTGCTCCAAACTGATGAAGGAATAACACACAAATAATAACTGGAGACACGGACACGATGGTTTGCAATGGAGTAAGGCCGCAAGGAAGAAAGTGGCGAAAAGAAAAAAGATGAACGCCTGTAAAACGGTTTCAAAATCTACATAGTTAGAAGCCAAATAAATAAACTAACTATATATCCACACACAAATAAAAACTTAACTATAACAATGTACTTTTGGATGAATATCTAAACAACACACACATTTACTCGAAAAATAACGTACAACAACACACAAAATCCAGACAAATGGAAGACATGCACAAGCAATAATCGTGTAATCACATTCATGTTATGATGGTAAGAAAAATGCACAAGCAAGCTCATATAAAAACGAGAGAAGAGAATGTACTGCAGTTGAATGTCATCATCGTCTGACTGACTGACTAACTGACTGATGCCTTCGTTTAGAGATCACGCAATGAAATGATGACCAACATGAACATTCTACTCTGCATGGCCAACCTCACATTAACACTCAACAACGTGATTATCAACATTAAATACAATTGGCCCACCAAATCGAAGCATGAAGCCACAAAAAACTCTCAACAAACATTAAAACTCTTAACTTGTAAACAAAAAAATGTACACATAAACACGCACGCGCGCACACACAAACTTATGCAGCCAGACATATAGACAAACAGATAGATAGATAGACAGACAGACAGACAGACAGACGGATGGACAGAGAGAGCAAACAAACAAACACATAAACAAACACACAAACAAATGAACAAACGAACACAAGAACAAACGAACACGCAAACGAACAAACAGATGCAGGAAAGAACCTGAGTGGCACTGTGTTATCGCCATTCCTTCTCACCATTTCTTCCTTCGAAACTTTGTACCATCTGTCGGTTGAGGAAGTTTGTTCTCGTTACCATGAATATTTGACTATTTACATTTTTTTTAGTAAATTTTTTGAATTGTTTTTTTTGTTTGTGATTTTTGTCTGAACCCACAAGACCTTATACAAGGCATCTTGTATGACGTTTGAAAATAAATAAATGAATGAAGTTATTTAACGAGAGTTTGATCCAAAATCCTACTTGATAAATTCGAAAATTCAAATTCAACATTAACAGCATAGTCATCACCATCACATTCACCACCATCGCCAACATCACCATTATTTATTTTCTTCATGTAATAGTTATAAATAACATTGACAATGTGGAAACCTGAAGTTGAGTCTCCAGTTGAATCCACCCCAGATGACGTCAGATCCTGTCTTGTACTCGAAGTTCTTGTCACTGATCACATCAATGATGGGACATGCTATGGTCTTCCTGTCGTTCCAGTGTGTGTGTGTGTGTGTGTGTGTGTGTGCGTGCGTGCGTGTGGGTGGGAGAGAGAGAGAGAGAGAGAGAGAAAAGAAAGAAAGAGAGTGAGAAAGAAAGAGGCAAGATTCAAGTTTCGAATGGTTTCGACGACTTCGTCTTGGTGGAAGTAAGAGAACGCGTTCACTCTTGTACAACTAGTGTGAACGTGTGTGTGTGTGACCATGCATGGGATTGGTTGTCTACGATTTCCGATTTTGTACAGCATCAAAGTGTGTTTGCGCCGATGTCATGAATTGTTAAGTGTTTCGGCTTACATTGAATGCCGCCTTATGTAATTAGGATTGAATGAAAGTACAATGAATGATGAATGAACGAATGAATGAACGAATGGATGAATTTAATGAAGGGACCTGTTGATCTTGATCTCATGCAATAAAGGTTCGATCCACCCTTCCGTGCACTCGATGTGGGCATCCAAGAAGATGATCACTTGCCCTTTAGCCACCTCTGCTCCTATTGCATGGTTGTTAGTTGGATGGCTGCTATTACGAAGGTGCTGATGATTTGACTTGGCAGGTTGTAGTGCCAATCTTCATATTTGCGACAACATTTTTTCATTGAACACCAAGTAACAACAAGACGGTTTAAACCTTTGAGTCTCGCTCTAATGAGACCACTCCTGTTCTGGAGGTGGAGGACGAACGTGTTGACCGGTAGAGTGGCCACGTACTTGTCCAATGTCTCTTTCAAGAAATCTTGTGATGGTCAGTTGATCGTTCAATGATTTTTATGAATGACAAAATGACGAACATGAATGAATATACCGTACCAACTGCCATACACCATGATCGAATTCATGCAGCACTCAACCATGCACAACATCAACACGTACGCATTATGATCACGTACACGATGGTAGGCAGCCTCACGCATGGTCACACTGGTTGACGAGCAACAACATTACGAAATCTATCTCGCAATCTCAATTCATAATGCCTCGATCATAATTGATGAGGCCCCAACATGAACCCCTTCCCCTACCAAATCACCACCACCACCAATTACCACACGACACACGACAGCAGGCAGACCTCGTTCGCTGGCATCATCGACGAGGATGACCTCGCGGAGGAGGTGCAGTGGTGACCTGTTGATGATGCTCCACAGTGTCCTCAGCAGGGTCGACCAGGCCTCGTTGTGGAAGACGATCACAATGCTCGAGTCGGGCAGGTTCGACGCATAGGACTTTGACTGACAACTTGGGTACAAAATTCAGGATAACATTTATTTCACTCAAACATGCATGCCAAACATAACATCAGATCAATCCCCACCGCTTGTTTTATTATTGTTGTCCACTGGTCAGAAATTGTTTGTTATATTTCGATAATAAGCTCATTAATTTCAAAAAAAAATTATTTTTGCAAGCGAGTTAGCTAAGCTGGTAAAAGTGCCACATTCCTTGTTATTCATGAACCAACTGACAATCGCAATCAAATGTATGGTGCAATGCACGTGAATATCAGCGTGTATGTTGTGAATGTATATGGTGCTTGTGAATGCATGCCGTGTATGTGAATGTATGCGGTGCGAGTGCATGTGAATGTATGTGATGCTTGTGAATGTATGTAGTGCATGTGCATGTGAATGTATGTGAAGCGTGTGAATGTATGTGGTGCATGTGCATGTGAATGTATGTGATGCTTGTGAATGTATGTGGTGCATGCGCATGTGAATGTATGTGATGTATGTGATGCTTGTGAATGTATGTGGTGCATGTGAATGTACGTGGTGCATGTAAATAACACCCTAGCTACAAAAAATTCAATTTTACAAAAACAATGCAACAAATATCCAATTCCAAATAAAAAAAGAACACAATGCAAGATGTAACAACAACAACAACACCATTATAACAACAACAACAACAACACCAACAACAACAACAACATCAACAACAACAACATCAACATTATTAACAACTACAACAACAACCAAAACTATTCAAGAACACAAAAAAAAATCCCCAAAACAGAAACAAACCTCAAAATACGTGACAGCATGACAAAACAAACAGGCAAGCAACAACAAAACAATCGACATCGACCGGCAAAACGACCTAACCTGCTGGATCGATAATCAGGCAGTGACCGATTGATGGACATGAGATTGCTGGCCAGCAGGTTGAACTGATTGATCTTGAACATCTCGTTCGCTTCGGCCTCCCTCTCTCTCGGAATGACCACCGCACTGCCCATCTCGCCGTAGCTCTGCACCTTGAACACTTTTCAACAGAACATCTCCCATGCATTCAATATCGTCATAACATTCGACATGTGTAAAATTTAGAAATTACTTATTTACATCATCACCGTGTATTTCAATAAGTTAAAGTTAATAATTACTATAGAATTGGCCTAATGAAATGTATTCGAACAATCAGTGAAAGAAACTGAACTTTATAAAAATAAGAAATACAAAAATAGAACGGGATAATAATTTATAAACGAACAGTTTGTAAAAAAGTTGACGAATCTGCTCCAGAGAGATTGATAAGGTTGTGGAGTGGTGGGCATGAATGTGGTCATCATCATGGGTATTCTGGTCACCATCTGCGATGGAGAGTGTGTGTGTGTGTGCGTGTGTGTATGTGGTATTGTGCACGTGTGTGATGAGCGTGTGTGTGGTGATGTGTATAAGTGTGTGCGTGTGTGGTGATGCGTGCGTGTGTGGTGACGTGATTGTTCGTCCTTTGTAATGATGATGTCCATTACTGCCTAATGCCGACAGTGTCATCGTCATCGTCAACTGTTACTGTTGTTCATTTTAATGTAGACAAGTGAGTTAGCTCATAAATAGAAAGAAGAAATGCGTGCAGGAAACGAAACGACAGATTTGTAACGCCTCTGCAAAGAAGAATAAATGTAGAATGCTTGAAACAGTTGCTAAAGGTTAGTACTTCTTTCAAAACATTGGATGGATAAGGTTGGGGTTGAGCTGTAAATGCTCTGAATGATAAGAAGGTAGTAAGTAGTGGAGATCATCGTACACCAAACAATAATTATAATAATTACAACAACAACAACAACAAACCACCAACATATCAACTGGCAAACTAGCCAACAGGCATAAAAATAATTAACCAACCGGATCATGCCCGCAAGGTTGCCTAGCACCACAATCGAGGAAGTACATAATTAGAAAGACGTAGACCATGAACCAGAAGAGAGAGGTGAGAAGGATGAGGCGACAACTCTGCAGTCTCCTCCTGTTCATCGTAAAGCTGTACATGGAGGTCGTCATGTTGGCTCTTGAGCTAAGGTGATGTCCTTGGTCAGACCGTTCGAATGATGAGACGATGGAGGAGCAGTTTTGGTTTCGATGGGGTAGATGGAGGGTTCAGATATGAATGTTAAAATATGCTGCTAGTAGGTCATCAGTTCACCACCTGTTTTTTTTACAAATATGGATAATCCGAATGTTAATTTGAAATTTACGAATTTCCATTTCATTTTTAAACAATTCATGCCGCATATATAGTAAAAAATAAAATGATGGTAGTGGATATATCAAATAATAATAACATGACAAGAACAATCCGCTAATATGCCATAACGTGACGAACCAACCAACAAACAGAAAAATATTTTAGCCAACCAAATAATGCACGCAAGAGAATTTAATATTAGTTTATTCAGAAAAACATACAAATGAGTTGTATCTTTTAGCATGAATATATATATATATATATATATATATATATATATATATATATATATTTACAATATTCTATAAATTCTACCGAATGTTTCGCGTTAATATGTGTGT